ATTCTCAAGCAGCAATTAAAGAATAAACCGTTTAGATTAAATTATATGATTTTGTTTGTGTTACAGGTAATATAACCTATTTTTGATTTTTATTCTCTTCAAAATGATTTAAACCATATTGTTATTAATATTTTGTTAGTCATATTCAATCATTTTTTCAATTAATAAATTTTTTTGATTTTTTGGGGACCATAGGTCCCTCTACAACTTGAAATTATGTTTTCTACATTTTATCTTAACTATCCTCCACAATTTTCCTCTCTATTTTCTTCGGGCCACCGCTCTATACTTTCACGTCATCATACTGATGCTTTCCTTAATTGTATTCCCTTCTATTTTTCTTGAATTGAAGGAAAACTGTGTTGAAATATAAATTGTGTTGAAATATATACTTTCACGTCATCATACTGATGCTTTCCTTAATTGTATTCCCTTCTATTTTTCTTGAATTGAAGGAAAACTGTGTTGAAATATAAATTGTGTTGAAATATACATTTTGTGATATTGATTCATTGTTTTGATCGATTGTTTTTCAGGTTTGACAATATAGATTTTATTATTATTATTATTTATTATTATTATTATTATTATTATTATTATTATTATTATTATTATTATTATTATTATTATTATTATTATTATTATTATTATTATTATTATTATTTCGTTGTTTGATAAAGTGTTTTTTAAATATACTTTATCATTTGTTCTTATCCTCTCATTTCAGAAGTATTGTTATTTGATGTAGAAATTTGTTAACCAACTAATATGATATTGTTTCGTTTTCTCTATTTATCCGATGTGTTTTTAATGATTTATCTTAATTTTGTCATGATAATATAATAAAATATATGAAACATATAATTACATTTAAATTATGATCTATTGTTGCACCTTCAGGCATCATTGTTTTGATTGATTGTTTTTCAGGTTTGACAATATAGATTTTATTATTATTATTATTATTATTATTATTATTATTATTATTATTATTATTATTATTATTATTATTATTATTATTATTATTATTATTATTATTATTATGTCGTTGTTTGATAAAGTGTTTTTTAAATACACTTTATCATTGTTCTTATCCTCTCATTTCAGAACTATTGTTATTTGATGTAGAAATTTGTTAATCAACTAATATGATATTGTTTCGTTTTCTCCATTTATCTAATGTGTTTTTAATGATTTATCTTAATTTTGTCATGATAATATAATAAAATATATGAAACATATAATTACATTTAAATTACGATCTATTGTTGCACCTTCAGGCATCATTAATAAAAAAGTAATACAATTGTTTCAATCACTTTTTTAATAATAATATTATTAACAAATAAAATTTAGTAATAATCACAATACATGCATTGTATGTATGATACACAACTCACATTACGATCATTATTACATTACCAAATTAAATTAATTAAAATAAAGAATAAATAATTAAATACTATTAAAAATAAAAATTAAGTAATCAATAAAAAGAATTGAGAGGGGGATAACTATAGAAGAACAAAAAATAATTTGTTAATTTAATCGAAGTAAACTTAAACAATATTAATTAGACTTTAGCTTTGATTTTACATATAATTTTTTTTTATCTTTGAATTGATTAACCCTTTTCTAAAACAAAACAAAATATTTTCAAATTAATATTATTTTACATTTGATTTAAATTCAAATTGATTTAAATTCAAATTTAAATTATTCTCACATTTATTTAGTCATCATTTAATTGGTTCCCTACAAATTACACTACAATAAATTTGAAAAATTCAAAAGTAAAAAACTATTTACAATACATCGCATTTATGATACACAACTCAAAATACATGCCTTCTATTTATGTTCTATTTAACCGGTTAAACTTATAATTGAATAGTTTATTAAATAAGTTAATAATATAAAACTAAATTTTATGGATAAGTCACATAATTATAAGTTCATAAATTTTTAAAATAAATATTTGAAAATTCATTACAAACATCATATTTTTTTTGTGAAGGGAAAATATTTTAATTATTAATTCTAATATAATAATAATTTTTAATTTTTTATTAAAAAATTATTAAAATTAGCCACTGACAAACATTTTTTGAACCGGACGGTTTTATAAAATCGACTATGATTCTTTGGTTTGAATGATTTCGAGCAGTTCAATCAGATTTTTCTGATTTTATTCTGGTTATGACCCGCCTGCAATTTATAAGGCTGACCAAACCAGTCACCTTCGAATCCTTGTCGAACTAGTTGAACTAGAAAGTTCAATCTGATTTTTAAAACATTGCACAACTCACAATACACCAATTAATTAATTATCAAATTAAATAACTTAAAATAAAATAAAAATAATTAAATCTATTAAAAAGAAAAACTAAATAATCAATAAAAAATATTTCATCTCTCTCTTTTCTTTCGTTCTCTCTTTCGATATTCTTAGATTTAATTTTTTATTTTCCTACAAATATCTACAATAATAAATATTAAATTATCATTTAATATTGTAATTGATTTTTTTGATATTCTTAGAACTAATTATTTATTTTTTCCCTAATGATATCTACAATAATAAATATTATATTATTATTTAATATTGTAATTTTTGATTATTAATAATAAATTTATATTAAAGCTAAAATAAATGTATTATCAAAATTATTATTTTTCAATATTAATCATAATTTTTCAATAGATAGATGGATATACTCTCGTTGATAAAGATAGATAAAATCTATTCACAAATTAAAATAATAAGTGATTAAAATTTAAAAAATATTTTCTCAATTCAACAGTAACAAAAATACAAAATAAAAAATCAAATTGATTTTATAATTTAAAATTGAGAAATAATTTTATAATAATTAAAAAATAAATAATTTAAAAAATAAATAATTTAAAAATTCAACTACTATATTGTAAAAAACATACTAAGGTAAAAATAAAATAAAAATATGAATAATTTAAAAAAAAAAGATATGATTTAGATGGATTCTAAATAAATAAATAAATAAATAAATAAAAATTAATAGACATCTTTAAATTTTATAATATATTAAAAAATAAAATTTTATTTCTATCCATAAAATTTTAAAATATAAAAAAATAAAAATTTTAAATTTGACTTTTTTTCTTTTATATAATATTTATTTTAATTAGTTAGAATATTTATTTTACTTGACAACATGTTAAAATAAATCCACTCATAATTATTATAACATTTAATTATAATAAAAAATAAAATTTTATTCCTATGTTTATAGTATAATAAAAATAAATTATTTTTTTATCATAAAGTTTTATAATATAAAAAAAATTAAAATTTATAAGTTTGTCTTTTTTTCTATATAATATTTATTTTACTTAGTTAGAATATTTATTTTATTTGACAACAAATTAATTAGATATTAAAATAATAAATTCAATATTTATCACTAATAGACAATATTTATCTATAAATATAATTAAATATGAGACACATATTTGTTATTATTGAATAAATAAATTTAAAATGATATGTAAATATTTAATTTTATAATTATTTTTATAAGTAGAAGTAAGTTACAAATATTTTTATAAATGATAAAAATTTAACTATTGATAGAATTGTTTTTACAGAAATAAATTAAAAATATTTTTATAAATGATAACACGGATTCAAAACATCTCTAAACGGAAAAAAATTTACATATTGATATAATTATTTGTATAAACGAAAATAAATTACAATAATTTTTATAAATAAAAATAAGTTATATATATATATATATATATATATATATATATATATATATATATATATATATATATATATATATATATATATATATATATATATATATATATATATATATATATATATATATATATATATATATATATATATATATATATATATATATATATATATATATATATATATATATATATATATATATATATATATATATATATATATATATATATATATATATATATATAAATGAAAAAAATCAACTATTGATACAATTATTTTTAATAATAATAAGTTAAAAATAATTTTACAAATCATCATAGAGATTGAAGACATTTATAAACAAAGAAATTTATTTATAAACGAAAATAAGTTACAATAATTTTTATAAAATGACTATAAGATATAAATTTTTTTATAAATATAAAAAATTTATAAACGAAAATAAATTACAATAATTTTTATAAAATGAATATAAGATACAAATTTTTTTATAAATATAAAAAATTAAACTATTAATATAATTTTTATAAACAAAAATAAATTACAAATTTTTTAATAAATAAAAAGACTGATTTAAAACATTTATTATATTTATAATTATATGAATGTTAATGCACTAAATAAATGAATGCAAATTTGATAAACAAGGGTATAGCACGGATTTCTTATTGATTGATAAATTAATTAATGAAAACCAATGGTATAAGGTGGTTTCGTACGATGAAGGATAACGTGCCATGTGTAACGTGTTTATCAATAAAGTAAAAGGTGTTGGTTATGTTTCATTGAACGGTCAAAAGAGCTGAAATAAAGAACAAGAATTGTCTGGGCGCTTTTATTGTCTTTGTTGACTAACAAAGATTAGATAACAAGATAAAATCACACACCACAAAACAATAACATCTCTGCATTTTCTTTCACTCTTCTCTTGTTTTCCCTCAATCTGGATCCGTAAGTTTCTCTTCCCAATTCAACCTCTCATATTTTTTTCTGGATGTAATCTATTAATAATTAGGTTTTATTCTTATAATCATTTTAACCATTTTTTTTTGGTGTTATTAAATTAACAATTTTTTTATTTATTTTTTGTTTGTGCAGATTTTGGTGCTGAGTTAAAATTGGTGTTGAAATAGCAAGTTTTTTTGTTTAGGGTTTAGTTATATTTTCCTCTAGATAAAGATTTTATGAGCTTGATAGTTGATTGAATTGAAGGTGAAAGAAATTTTTCTGATCTACTTTGCTTGTGGTGGTGGTGATGGCAACAGCGGGTGCAGCACCTGCTTCTGGATTAAGAGATGTAAATGCAAGTTCAGTAATTGCTGCTGAAAGGTTACCTGATGAGATTCTTGGCATGAGAATTAAGGATGATAAGGTGAATATAAATCATAGAAAAAGTCTATTTTATAGCTTATATGAAAATAGTTCATTTTATTCTATATAGAAATAGCTTTTACATAAGGTATGGAATATCCAAACATACCCTTAGCTTATGTTAAAAATTTGTCGAAAAAAATGCAGGAAATGGAAGCAAGTGTGGTAGATGGAAGTAGTACTGAAGCAGGACATGTGATTGTCACTACTATTGGTGGTAAAAATGGCCAGCCAAAGCAGGTTAGTTTCTGTTATTTCATTTGTGGGATGGATTATTGGTCTGTGTGTGTGTTGATATTTACATGGTCATTTATGTATTGTTTGAATTTTGCGACAATTTTATGATTGTAGACAATAAGTTACATGGCTGAGCGTGCGGTTGGACAAGGATCATTTGGTATAGTTTTCCAGGTTAGTCTCTTTCATGTTCTTTCATTTGCATCTTTTAATTGGATACATTTCGAAGTAACGGATGCGTTTAATTTACCGTGCAGGCAAAATGCTTGGAGACAGGTGAAACCGTGGCTATAAAGAAGGTTCTTCAAGACAAGAGGTACAAGAACCGGGAATTACAAACAATGCGCCTTTTGGACCACCCCAATGTTGTAACTTTGAAGCATTGTTTCTTTTCAACAACTGAAAAAGATGAGCTCTATCTTAACTTGGTACTTGAGTATGTTCCTGAGACTGTCCATCGTGTGATCAGACACTACAGCAAAATGAATCAAAGGATGCCGTTGATATATGTAAAACTTTATTCTTACCAGGTATGTTTCGCTGTACTTTATCAAATTTTTTGTTTATTGTAAATTTTATAGATATTATGATATTTATTTTCTGTGCATACTACTTTTTTTGTTTCTCATTCCTTCTATTTCTTTTTTTGTAGATATGTAGAGCACTAGCTTATATACATAACTGTGTTGGAGTGTCTCATAGGGACATAAAACCTCAAAATCTACTGGTATGTTTGGTAAACTTTTTTCTTTAATGTTTGTGGTCTTTTTGCATTGATTTGCATCGTGCAACCTAAATCATTGTATGGAGTAGTTCTAGTTTGTTTCTAGATGTACTTTTCCTTCTTTGGTGAGACTAGTTTAGTTTCATATCCGATAGAATAGTTTATGTATATCTCTTTTGACTGTTACCTCATAACAGGTCAATCCTCACACGCACCAGCTGAAGCTTTGTGATTTTGGGAGTGCAAAAGTCCTGGTTTGTTATCTTCAACCTGAAAAACCTATTGTCTGTTTTCACTGTCTATCTATTATATTATCAGGATTAAATTTTGTATATATTTGACAGGTCAAAGGTGAGCCAAACATATCTTACATCTGTTCAAGATATTACAGAGCTCCCGAGCTTATATTTGGCGCAACTGAGTACACCGCAGCCATTGACATTTGGTCAGCTGGATGTGTACTTGGGGAACTATTGCTTGGCCAGGTATCTACTTGTTAAGTATAACTGATTATGGTTTATTTGGAATTCATATCTCTAGAAACTAAGAATGAATTCATAATCTTATCAGCCTCTCTTTCCTGGTGCAAGTGGAGTTGATCAGCTCGTTGAGATTATCAAGGTTTGATGAAATCTAAAATATTTTACTCTGAAATCTAAGCTTTCTGTTTACTGTCATTTATTTCTTTGCACAATGATGATACTTGCTTTAAGTAATCCTCACCTCAATGAGTTCAATCTATGTAACTACTTGTAGACATCCTTTACAATTAGTCCCCTTCTTTTATGATGTTCAATGCCATGCGATGACTTTCATCACTTACGAATTTTGGGATTAACTTGCAGGTTTTAGGTACCCCGACAAGGGAAGAAATAAAGTGTATGAATCCTAATTACACAGAGTTCAAATTCCCACAAATCAAAGCTCATCCGTGGCACAAGGTATTGTAATGGTATATTTTCCAGTCCATTTATTCATATTATTTCATATTTGCTATTCATAATATATAAAAATGGTCATCATCAGATCTTTCGCAAGCGTATGCCACCTGAGGCCGTGGATCTCGTCTCAAGACTACTGCAATACTCTCCTAATCTTCGAAGCACAGCTGTGAGTGTATAATTTTATCAAGATATGTAGAAGCTGTAAATAGTCCTATAATGATTTTCAGTGTAGAATTATAAAAATTGTATTGTTTTGTGCCTTGTGCAATGTAGTTGGAGGCCCTGGTTCATCCATTCTTCGATGAATTGCGTGATCCAAATACCCGCTTACCAAATGGGCGCCATCTTCCTCCTTTATTTAACTTCAAAGCGAATGGTAAGAACTAACTTTCATCCAAGCATCGGGTTCTTAATATAACGCATTGAACTATTGTGTAATACTGTTGTTGCTTTTGATCTGTCACAGAGCTTAAGGGAGTGCCTGCCGAAATGCTGGTGAAGCTGATTCCGTCTCACGCAAGAAAGCAATCTGCCTTGTTTGTGTCATAGACTTAGATTAGAATCTTGTCTTGTGTAAATATCATCTACTTCATATTAGTAGAATTGTATCTAGTTTCAGGTTGTTAATAGTCCCCCCATTTTGTTATTTGTTTCATTGATTTGTTTGAACCGTTTCTAACTAAGAAAACCACATCACCTTGATCTTTTTTTTTTTTACAATGTAATTGTTTTCTTGACCTTCTCTACTCTCAACAGATTGTGTTAAATATTAACTAGAACAATTGTTTATTTAGAGATGCTTTAAAGCTTGCTTGGTATTCCCCCTTAGCAATGAGAACTTTGCCTTCTAAGATTGTCTTACTTGCAAAAGAGTCAATTACAACCAAGATAAGGAACTAGAGAACTAACAATTTGTTAAAGTGAACTATTCACTCCATCTTTCCAATAATTGTTTTTTTTTTTGTACTTCAATTCATCTAAGTACAATTAATAAAATTATTTTAGTTAACAAAATTTATTTTATTATTGAAATTAATGAAATTAATTATTACTTAAAAAGGGTAAAGTTGAAAAGAAATACCTAAAATGAGGAGGGAGTAATGGTATAAAAAACACAATCAATAGCTAACTCTTATTATGACTATTTAAATGACTTTGACAAATTTTAAGATTTGATCGAGGTTGAACTGATTATATATAAATAAATATTTTTTATTATATATAAAAATAATAATAAATATTTTTTATTATATATAAGAATAATAATGTCTAAAAATGATTATATTTTTTTAAATAATAAAATAATTTATTGATAATTTTTTAATAATTAATAATTAATAGTTTTTTTAAATATATTTTTATAGTCTTTTATATTTAAAATAGGTTATATAGAATCTGACCAATACTTGTCATATTTCAACTTCATTTCATTAGCAAGAGTCTGCTGTGATATGGTGGCAGAACCGACTGTTATACTGATTTTGTATTTGTGTTCGTAAATGTTGCGGTAAATAAGAGTCGCCACCGACTTTTCTTTTATCCTAACAAAGGAAAGGGTGAAAAGAACAGAAAAAAACCTTTCGAGATTATTTGAGTAAGGAGAATAGATTATGGAAAGGGAAGGTGTTAGCACCCTTTCCATCCGTAGTTTTCTACGGGCTCTTAGATGCTTAGCTCATTTTGAAAATACCTTGTGTTTTGTGTGTTTTGAAAAGTATTTTGAAAGGTCTTAGTGCAGCGATTTACTTTATGATAACTCTTGTATCAGTCCTCAAGAGTGTTGATAAAGCTTTTGAAAATGTTTTTGAAATTTGTTTTGTGTAAGTGTGAAAATTTGTTTTTGAGCAAGCATCTAACAGCTATCTACTTTTACTCAAAAATACGTTCTTTTCCTCCTTTTCTTTAGACAAGGCTAGCCTACTATTAGTGAGTAGGTAGCCATAGTCGTTTGGATGTATGAAGGAACATTCGCGGGTCATCGTACAGTCATAAAGGAAACATGTAGAGACGCTTTATCAATTTTGTTTAAGGCAACACCGAAGGGTCAACGAGGGACTATGATATTTTGATTCGAGGGTCTTTGCTAAAGCGTCCCTATTTTCGAGGGACTTGACTGTTTTATATTCCGAAGGAAACTAAAGTGGGAGTACCCTAGAGGTGTATATGTGCAAGTGTGTTATATTCAGTTATTTTTGTCTTTTTTGTTAGGTTTGCTAGCATTTTGTTTTATTTTTGCCATACAATCCTATTACATACATCTAACAGTTAATATGTACAGGAATAAAATGCGGGAATTGTAAATCCTACGCTATTACAAAGTTTCGGGGAGGGGGATTATTACATATCAAAACTTTGGGGGAAAATAAAGAAAGCGGTAAAAATAAAATAGTCCTAATTACAGTCTATTACAACCAGGAAGCAGATACAATAATATGATAATGCTAGAATAAAATTGCGCACGAATTGGAAAAGACGTCTAAAACCCTATGGAATAAAAATCTTTTGTTTTGTTTTTGGTTTTTATGAAAATAAAATAAATTGAGAAAAATAAAATTAAATCTAAATTCTAATTTATTTTAAATTTTTTGAGAAAAAAGATGTTAAAATTAATTAATTAATTAATTAATTAATTCAGAAATTAATTTAATTAATAAAATCTAATCCTAATTTTTATGATGATTTTTTATTTTATGTTAATTTAAAAAGTGAAACTATAAAAAAGAAATGAGAAACATAAATAAAAGTACAAGAAGCAACAACCTTTCGATCCAAAGAAAAAATGGCTTTCGATCCAAATGAAGGGTGGCCTTCGATCCAATGAAGGGTGGCCTTTGATCCAGGGAAGGATGTGGCCTTCGATCCAGCAGAGAATATTGTTGGAGGTGTATGCTGTATTCCTGCAGGAAATTTATTAGAGAAAACAAGATAAAAATCCAGACTTGGGTCGAGTCCAGTCTTAGAGTCGACAGTCTGTGGCTGCATAATTCTAATTCGGATCATCTAGGTCTGAGCACGAGCTCATACCCACTTGAGATAAGGTTCCATAAGGATGGAAGTCTTAGGCCCCAAGGTCTTGGTATCAAATTTGTTTACCATGTCCCAAGTTCGTATGAACCTCTGACGATACTGTTGCACCCCAAAATTTGCCCTCTCATGTTTTCCAAAGTCTTCCCCCTGCATGGTTGACCAGAAACCCTTGCCTAAGGAAAAAGAAAATTTTTGAGTGGTGCTTTAAGTACCTTTCGATTGGCATTCTGAAAGACCCTTCAATTGGTATTTTGAAGGAGCCTTTCGATTGACATGGATAATTCCCTTCGATTGGCATTATGGACAAACACTTCGATTGGCATTGTGTCAAGGCCTTCGATTGGAATTCTGAAAGACCTTTTCATTTGGCACCCTGGGCCAAGCCTTTCAATTGGCATGCCAAGGGATCCTTCGATTTAGCATTGTGTCAAGGCAGCTTCGACAGGCATGTTAACCATGTCCTTCGATTAGCATGAACAACACCTTTCGATTGGCCTGTTAACAAAGCCTTTCGATTGGAATTTTAACAAGTACCCTTTGATTGGTATATGGACAAATACCCTTCAATTGGCATTTCAAAAGGTCCTTGGACTGGAACTTCAGAGTGTCCTTTGACTGGAACTTCAGAGTTTCCCTTAATAAGAACATCAGAACAAGATGACCTTCGAATGGCATTTCAGTGCAGAGTTTCTCTTAATCTAAGATGCTCTGATGAAGGAAGTTCTGAACACTTCAAATCAGAACTTAGACTCATCACAAGGCCAAGGGATGGTCTAAGTTGTCTAATAGGGAATGTTCTAAATAGATTCGAATTGGACTTTGAAGCTGGCAAAGAAGGCCCATTCGAAGGGTACATAAGAAATCCATTCGAAGGAGGCAACTTAAGACCAATCGAAGAGCATGGCCTGGAGGCATTCGAAAATTAAAGGTGTCTAGGTTCATTCAAGATTCCAAAGAGACATGAATATTTCAAAAAAGGAAATCTTTTAATATGTCTGATTCTTGTCTCATGGCTTTAAAGGCCTGTTTAATTGGTTGTCTTTTTCCATTACTAGACCATCACACTCCTATAAATACGAGGCCAGTGACACAGAACAGGAACAAAAAAACGAAAAAGGAGAAACAAGGAGGATTTGGAGATACGCTGCCCACAAACCCACCAAAGGTTGTCAACATTTTCAGAAGTAATCCAAGCCAAAGCAGCCATTCTGCAAACATCTCCACACCCAGAACCACAAATCATACATCTTCAATTGGTAAGGGTTTGCAAAACCAAAATTGCACCTTCATGACATTTAAATACATATTGCATATGTATTCTTGTTATTACTGATTATGTTGCATGTAAGCTACAGCGCAAAGATGAGATCGTGCCATTGCTTGGGCACGATCTAAGTTTCTCCTTCGAATCTCAGGATAAAACAAACCCAGACCCAGATTCAGCAGATTCAAGTTGAGGAAGGATCCGAATTGGGGGGAGATTCGAATCAGGGGGGTAAAATCCCCCCCGGATCTTTAATATTTGTCTCGTTTTGCAGGAAATATCTTCTCAGAATTTTGTTCAGAGCTTCGAAGCATAGCAGCTTAGCTTCGAACTGGATCCAGGATTCCCAGATCGAAGGATGACATATCCAGATCGAACATCCCCAAAGTGCATCCCCTCATGCATCTTTGATCAAGCCTCCTCACTGGATCGAAAGAGCCCACACCTCTTTCGATCCAGGCCTCCAGAATTATACCTCTTTTTGATTTACTGCCTGTTTCCTTCGATTTCATCTTTGTTTTGACTATTTTATTTCTTTTTTTAATCAACATAAAAATCAATTAAAAGAAAAACCACAAAAATATTAGGCTAGTTTTTTCTATTAAATTAAATTTGTCAATTAATCATTTAATTATCTTAACATTTTCTCAAAACTAAAATTAAGAAGATTTAGATCATTTTTCCCAAAATAAAATAAAACACAAAAAGATTTTATTCTTAGGATTTTTAGAGGTTATTTTCAGATTCGCGTGCGTTTATTTTATTGTAACTGCCTACTGGTTTGTAATAGCTTAACTAAGACTTTTACACTTTACTGCTTTATTCCCCCAATTTTGGACATGTAAATAATCCCCCTCCCCGAAGCCTTGTAATAGCGTAGGATTTACAATTCCCGCACTTTAAATTCCTATACATATATTAACTGTTTAGATGTATGCTAACTAGGATTGCATGACAAGATCTGAAAACAAACGGTAGAACACCTAAATGCACAAAGATAATATAACTGAAAAACAATACACTCGCACATGCCACTCTTAGGGTACGCCTCACTTGGTTGCCTCGAACGTGGTCATTGAGTATATGATGTTTTAGAGGTCGCCCTTTTGTCCAAAGATCATAAGTTGCCTCGAAACGGTTGCCTCGGAAAAATGATCTAAGACATTAGGGTTACCGCTAAGGCGTCCTAACATTGCTTTAGTGGCCACACGTCCCTTAAATCGAATTGACCCGAAAAGCTCCAACGACGGTGCTACCT